AAATAAAAAGAAGGAAAAATGAACAAAACCAACCAAACCCACTTGCCAAGTAGGTGCCCTCCCTCTGCCCCAGCCAAGAACCCCCAACCCCAGCTGAGAGAGTGCAAGACTTGGTTTGCTTTTACCCTTAATGCTTACATTTAATTTTAAAGCACAAACATCAGAGATGGACTCTAAATCGCCAACAAAAAAATAGATATTTACAATATTTCTCCGGGGAAGGGAGGGAAGGAGGAAGGGAGGGAAGGGGGATCGAAACAAAACAAAACCACAACCAAACCCTTAAACAAGTGACTTTGCTTGCAGGAGTTGTCTTTAGGGAGCAGGCTGGGTTGGTTTTAAATCACTAAGTGATTTTTATTATATATAATTCTCTTTTTTTCTTCCTCGTGGATTTGCACCACGCCGAGGTGGTGAGGAGGGTGGCACGCCGGAGTCTCTGCGGCCGGAGGGCGGGGACACGGCGGGAAGGGGGTGCTGTCCCCGCGGAGCAGGGAGCACCTCGCCCCTCTCAACCCCAGCTCTGGACATTTTTCTTTCGCGTTGCAAAACTCAAAAGGAATCCAAAGGAAAAAGAAAAGCTTAAATTCTTCCGATGTCTTTTCCCGGGAGCCGCCGCCGAGAGCGGCCGAGGCCCAAGGCTCCTCCTCTCGCCTGGGGGGGTTTCCTGCTCCGAGCGCTCCGGCTCCGCTTCGGCCGCACTGCCCCTTGTCACAGGCACTGCGGGATTGTCCCCAGTGTCCCCCTGCGGGGACAGAGCCCGCGGGCCGCCTCTCCTCCTTTATTGCTTCTGAAGCAGCAGGGGGGGTGCGGGCTGCCCCCCGGGGAGCCCTGCGGGGCTGGGGACCGGTGGTGGCACGGAGGGGACACCCCGGATTGTGCTATCGGTACCCTGCCAGGGAGAGAGCAGGGTGCTGACACCGGGGGGACAGAGAGGGGGAGCGTCCAGGCACAGGCAGGACAGGGAGGGAAATAAAATAGTGACCCAGAAAAAGAAGATTCCAACCTTTTTTCCTTTGTTTTTTTTTTTTTCTTGTCTTTTTTTTTGTTGTTTTGTTTTTTTGTCTTTTTTTTTGTTGTTTTTTTTAAAGTGCAAAAAGCTCTCTGCTGCCCTAGAGAGAGGTTCTTTGGACCAACCATTCATTGCAAAGGAAAATCGGCAGCGAAAAGGGGACGGGGGGAAGGAGAGGACGATGCCAGTTCGGTCCCAGGCCGCGGAGCAGCCCTCGCCCCTCCGGCCCCAGAGTGCTTCGTGGTGCCGGCAGCTGGGCAGGAAGAGGAGGC